ATAATGGGAAATCGAGACATATAAGCTTGAGACATGCTTATATAAGAGAATTAATTACAAATGAAGCTATAGCTATAATATATGTGAGATCAAATAAGAATTTCGCTGATCCACTTACGAAGCCATTAGGTAGAGATGTAGTACAACAAACTTGTGGAGGGATGGGGCTGAGACCCTTAAATTAAATACAAGGAATAGGAACCCCACTTTGAGTTAGTACACACTCTAACAATATAAGTTCAATGGGTAATAACAAGTTACTTGTGTTGTTTAAGCACTGATCTCCTCTTTAGGAGCCCTAATTCTATTGTACTACTTACTGTTATATGAGGAGTTAAGGAGTTGTTAAATGCTTGTTATAACAGGAGCATAAAGACAAACTCCAAAGTGCATACTGTTACATGAAGAGGTTGATTAGTCTTAATGGAATTATTAATGTCTGGAGTAACAGGGACATAGTAACTAATTTCACCTATATGAATATTGAAGTGGTGCCGCTTCTAGCAAGATTTAAAGGGTTGATCTTGTAAATATTCATGAATTCAGGATGAGCACATGGCCGTAAACGTGCTAAAGTGAATACTGAATTTTCTAAGCTACTAGATAACACTATGTGTGCNAGATAACGCTGTGTGTGTGGTATTTTCGGTTTTGGCACAAGGATTTGTGGTTCAAATCTTAAGATACCATTAACTTCGTCAAAACTTTAATATACTTACACTAAAGGAAAGTTCAAATCTGTAAAAGATACTTTCAATTATTCACAAGTGTTATGAAGTGAAATAACAAACTAGTGGGGGATTGTAAGATAGTTTGTTATTGGCAAGTTGGAAGTGGGATTCTTCCCACATCGGAAGAAAGAAGTTCCGTGCCTGTCATGTGAAACACCCCCGGGACCGACCTTACTCGTACCGTGTCTGTTAGCCTCGGAACTGATCATTATGAAATAGCACATAACAGGCACGAGACTGACTCAACAGGCACGAGACTGACTCAACAGGCACGAGACTGACTCAACAGGCACGAGATTGACTCAACAGGCACGAGACTGACTCAACAGGCACGAAATTGACTCAACAGGCACGAGATCCTAGAGTTAATTATTTTTAACAGAAAAATCAAATTTATTTGAATTTTAAATTCAAAATTCGAATAAATAGTCGTGTCTGTTTGTGAAACAAGACATCTTTTCTAAAAGGGTCTGTTGGTTGCCTATAAATACACAAGAATTCCAACGAAGTGGATATAGAAAATCAAAGTGTTATTGCAGGCTTTGTTGTATCCTGAAGAGAATCGTTTTGTATTTTCCCTAAATTAGTATACAGGCGATAACTCTTTAAGAACAGTCGATTTTCCCGCCTCAAAGCCAATTTTGTTTATTATTTTTTAACAAACCCAACCCTGAATCGACCCAATTCACTTTAGGCAAGAGTTTGCGCGACTGAACCCATAACTTATATTGTACATCCGTACCCTGGATACCAAATAATATGGTTGATTTTCTTGATTCTGTTTTAAAGCCATAGAAACACGGACGAGCGAATTAGCTTAGCATTCCCATAAAGTAATATACAAATTACAATGTTGGAGATAACTGTTCAGTAATCACACACACAGACACAACGATCTATATAATTGTGTCCATGCCAAACTTTCACATGAATGAAAATAATCGAAAAATACTCGTATTTTAAAAGTATATATTGCACATACAACACCCATATCTCGTCATATGCAGAAGAAATGACGGACATTTTTTCAAGAATTCAAGAGAAGGTGTGGTAAGACGAGTCGTTTAACACATGAATCTTGTACATTAATCTTAGAATATGCGCTTTACAGCTCCGGGGAAATGAGTATTCATGAAGTAATCTTCCCATTTAATGTATCTTGGATCAAAGCTGAGCACATCTTCTATGTTGCAATCTTTCATTGCCATTCTCAACCTCTCGGTATTAACATCATCAAAGCTGAAAATTTTAAGTTTAGAAATAATTAAATTGCTTTTAATTAGTCGCACCGCGAGTTGATTAAATGATGCTTAAGCTACTAGAAAATAATTGGGAAGAAATACAAAATATAAACATTCACATACCTGCCGTGGAAAAGCAAGTAAGGTTTGTAGAGTTCAGCTAGACGTATAGCCATATCAATCTTCCTTTTCAAATTTTTGTAGGTTTTGTCAAAACGCTGCCATGATAATAGATTTGCCAACTCTAGTATCTAAAAACATATTAAACCACAAGTTACTGTCATTGAATGTGTACATCAACATTAAAGAGTGTTAGGCACATATGTAATATACTGTTTTAACCATAACAAATTATAATTTGCTTAAGACATTGATAATAACTCTACTAATTACTAACTATAAATTCCTATGCAAAATACTCCTTTACTATACAAAATATCTTTAACGTTAACTTTCATTATATTATGGGGGCAGCAAATTGTCTCGTTTTCCCCCTTGATCCTAAGAGACGTCCAACTTTGAAGTATAACACAAAGTAATACTCTCTCTGTTCCAATTTATGTGAACATGTTTAACTAGGCACGGTGTTTAAGAAAAAATAAAGACTTTTATAATTTGTGCTCCTAAAGAAGTCAAAAAGGGGCCCAGAGTATGTATGTGGTTATAAAAGCTTCTCATTAACGGTAGAATTGTAAGTTTAAGCTAAATTGTTACCAAATTTAGAAAGTGGACATTCTTTTTGGGACGGACCAAAAAGAAAATAAGTTCACAAAAAGTGACAGAGGGAGTACTAAATAATAGTCACAAGGGGATAAATTTTGATTTTTTTTCCAAGTACTTTCACACGCCAAAACCATCAACTCGATGTCAGAGGTCCGTCAAAGTCAACGAAAAATGAAATGATTTACGTCTAACTATCCAGTGGCGGATTCAGAATTTTGAGTTCGAGGGTGCTTAATTAACTTTTTTTTACATAAAGTACTATCAATTATATTGTATAAATGCATAACTATTTGAATACGATCATAAAAACAATTAATAAGAAAACTCATAGTATTAATATTATGGATATCGTGAAACTGTGATAAATAGAAAAGTGATTGGTGGGTTTTGCCGTTCTAGACGAACTGTTGTTTTCAAAAGGGGTAGAACTTTGGAATCCCTTCTTAGGTAGATTTTTTTTCTTTCTTTGCTGTAGGAATTTAGATAAAGTAAAAAAAAAAATTAAAAGAAAAGCTGAAACAAAAGGTGAGGAAAAAAAAAGTAGTATTAGAGCAGTGGCTACTAGAAAGAACAAAAGATGCCTATTAATAGGAACTTGTAAAAAGCTAGGAATCGAAGTGCCGCTGCCAACTTTCACAAGCTCCCAGCCCGCTTTCTTGACCAAAGCACCTATCAAACATTTTGTTACCTAGGTGCTTCTTTATTTAATATATCACATAGAAGAAGTTATTCCAACTCGTTAAGGTGAGAGAGATGACAGCTCGGGATCTGGACCTAATGAGGAGCATAAAAGATGATGACGGCAAAGTTTTGATGGGAGTTGACCAGATTAAGAGGAGGTGTCAGACCTACTTTCATAAACTTCTATGTGAAGAAGGGGATCAGGATATTGTACTAGGGGAATTGAGGAATACAGACAGTCCCCATGAATTAAGTAATTGTAGGGACATTGAGATCGATGAGGCCATGGAGGCAATGCGTAAGATGAGAAGGGGCAGAGCTACCGGGCCAGACGAAATTCCGGTTGAACTTTGGAGGTGTGTGGGTAGAGCATGCTTGGAATGGCTTACTGGATTGTTTAATGATATATTCAAGACTAATAGGATGCATGAAGAGTGGAGATGGAGTACAATGGTTCCGTTATATAAGAACAAAGGTGATGTCCAGCGCTGTAACAACTATAGGGGTATCAAATTATTGAGTCACACCATAAAAGTTTGGGAGAGAGTGGTAGAAATGAGAGCGCGAATGACGGTGTCTATTTCAGACAACCAGTTCGGGTTCATGCCGGGGCAATCTACCACAGAAGCTATCCACCTTATTAGGAGGATGGTGGAACAATACAGGGATAGGAAGAAGGATCTCCACATGGTGTTTATTGATCTGGAGAACGCGTACGACAGGGTTCCTAGGGAGGTCTTATGGAGTTGCTTAGAGAATAAAGGGGTCTCAGTTACCTATATTAGGGTGATTAAAGACATGTATGCTGGAGCTAAGACTCGAGTTAGGACAGTAGGAGGCGACTCCGAGCATTTTTCAGTTGTTACGGGGTTGCACCAAGGGTCTGCGCTCAGCTCATTCCTATTTGCCCTGGTGATGGATGCACTAACTCATCATATTCAAGGGGAGGTACCATGGTGCATGTTATTTGCTGATGACATTATTCTAATTGACGAGACACGAGGCGGCATCAACGAGAAGATTTGGATACATGCTCTTGAGTCTAAAGGTTTCAAGTTGAGCAGGACGAAGACGGAATACCTCGAGTGCAAATTTGGGGTTGAGCCGAAGGAAGCGGGAATGGAAGTGAGGCTTGACTCTCAAGTCATTCCCAAGAGGGGTAGTTTCAAGTACCTTGGATCGGTTATTCAGGGGATTGGGGAGATCGACGAGGATGTCAAGGGTGGGGTGGATGAAGTGGAGGCTAGTGTCGGGAGTCCTGTGTGACAAGAAAGTGCCACCGTTACTAAAAGGTAAGTTTTATAGAGCAGTGGTTAGGCCTGCCATGTTGTATGGGACTGAGTGTTGGCCGGTTAAGAACTCACGCATCCAGAAGATGAAAGTAGCAGAGATGAGGATGTTGAGGTGGATGTGCGGGCATACAAGGATGGATAAGATTAGGAATGAAGATATTTGAGAGAAAGTGGGCGTGGCCCCCATGGAAGACAAGATGCGGGAAGCAAGACTCAGATGGTTCGGGCATATTCAGAGAAGGAGCACTGATACACCGGTGAGGAGGTGTGAGCGACTGGCTATGGTGGGCACGAGGAGAGGTAGAGGACAACCTAAGAAGTATTGGGAAGAGGTGATCAGACAGGACATGGAGCGACTTAGGATTACTGAGGACATGGCCCTTGACAGGGAATTGTGGAAGTCGAGCATTAAGGTTATAGGTTAGAGGAAAGTTTTGAATATTTCAACAGCACAATAGAGTGAGACTAGCCAGTTAGGAGTTAGTCTGAGGATGCTATTGGTCGTCTACTGATGCAGGGCTTTATCTGCTGGTTTTTACTATACCATCCATCTATTTTGTATTCCGTATTTCGTATCACTTATATTGTTGTTATTTTATTATGAGTCTATTTGTGGTACTAATATATCGTCTCTTGTTGCTTTCTTGAGTCGATGGTCTCCTGGAAACAGCCTCTCTGCCCCTCGGGGTAGGAGTAAGGTCTGCGTACATATTACCCTCTCAGACCCCACTTGTGGGATTATACTGGGCAGTTGTTGTTGTTGTTGTTGTTGTTGTTGTTGTTGTTGTTGTTGTGTTGTATATTTGGCTAGAGAATTTAATTATTTTTGGCTAACTGGCCAAATGTGTAACTTCACCACTAAAATTTGTATCAAAGATGAAAATAAAATGTTATATTGATGAGAAAAAAACCTTTAACAATGGCCAATAATAGGTTGAAATGTAATTTTGAAAGCTATCCATGCTGCTAAATAGCGGAGGCATTCCCACTTTGATGATGTTCCCATCTTTGTTGATCCATGGATTTTTGGTGAAGGAATGAAACAGAAACAATTGAATATCACAAGATTTTAGAGGATTTTTTTCGGAAGAGCTAATGTGATATATTGATTCTTGAGAAGAATAATATTGATTTCCATGTGCTATAATTGCTGCAAGTATGGAGTTCACCACCATATCACCTGGAATCTGTAATAAATTAAAGAGGTTAAAAAATTAGGCAGACCTCATTTGTAGTTGGTAAAAAAAAAGGTTATAAATAATTTCTTTATAATGATTAAAGAAAAAGAAAAAAAGCTTTCGAAAAATGAACCAGCATAGTAAATTAATACATACCGCGTCTATTTTTGTGTTTGGGTCACCAAAGCAGAAATTCAATATGCCTTTACCATATCCCAAGACAAATGAATCCACTGTTCTGCAGTTGCAAATAAAAGTTATTTATAAATATATAAGAGATATGAATCACCTCTTTATATGCTATGATATATGATAGCATCCTAGGAAGCTCAACTCTATTCAAGGACATGGATGAAGCTTTTGAATTTTAAAGATGGCTTTTAATAAGATGTCAAGCTAAAGAATTACAAAACAAGATCATTAGACTTCAAGTGCAAATTAAGAAGTTATTAATTGGAAGGAAGAGCTCAAGGATAAAGGATGTGAATTGGCAAGGTGATAGCATCAAGGACAAGGATAGAGTTTTGGAAGCTCCAAGGCCATATACAAGATCTCAAGCTAAAGAGTTGCAAACTAAGGTTGCTAGACTTCAATGGCAAATAAAGAAGCTTTTCATTATAAAGGAAGAGCTCAAGCCCAAAGGAGATGAATTGTCCAAGTTTTACAATTATTTTGTAGTCCAAATTGAAGTCCAAGAGGAGGAAGATTGGGTTACCAAATCAGCCCTTGAAGTCCAACAATAGGGCTCAAAATGACCTTAAAAGAGGTCCAAAAGGGGGTGTTTCAAAATGAGCTCAATTGGAGTCCAAACCAATGACCCAAACTAATAGTTTTAAGGCCCAAATCTGCCCCAAAAGGATTTGGCCGCCCCCCACTTAGTTTTGATGGCTTTTGTTACCCCTTAGGAGTCACCTACCTAAGANTAGTTATTAATTATTGTCTCAAGTTACTCGTAAAGTGGTCAAGATCCGAATCTATTATTTTGATTTGTTTTTTAAGTAAAGGCGTTTGATTTCTTCCATAAATCAAAACGTTATTACTTTGATCTTGTCAAGGCTATAGAACTTGCGTTCTTGGAAGTTCTTGGAATTCTTTCCTTGAATTCTTCACATATCCTTTATTTTCATCTCTTTAATTCTAGTTGTTCAATTCCTTGTTGTTATTGCTTCCTTATTTACTTCTCAAATTCTTACTTTAATTTGGATTCCCGACCTAGTTGTTATCAAGTGGTATCAAAGCAGTTTTATCAAGATTTCGTTCTTGGTAAGTCTTGGGATTTCTTGAATACTAAGAGCAAAGAAAAGAAAAAAAAATAAAAAAATAAAAAGCGAAAATCAGTTTTTAGAACAAAAAATAGAATTGTGTGCTCTCTAGGATATTTCTTTTGTATCTAATTTGTTACCAAAAAATTAACAAAGGAAACAAGAAGAGGGGATCCTAGATTTTCTTACTCTTTCTAATCTAAACATATAAGCCTTTCCTTTTTGTTCGCGTTATGTTTCAACCGAGCCTAATAGTTCTAGGATTTGGTTTTTCTTTCATTAGTTCCCCAAAAATCTGAATTTTACTACTAAGAACTTCATACGAGTTGGTTTAACTATAAATCTATAAAGTATTTTGTTCAAAGGTCATTGCGAGAGAAAAAAAAAGGATAAAGTGTGTGAGAGAACAATTGAAAAAAAAACAAAGAAGCCAAATTTGAGAGATACATATTTCCTTTAATCTATGTCAAGATATCTCAAATATGTAGTTGCAGTGAAAGGAGTAGATCTATGACTCAGCAACTTGAAAGGTCGATATTACAATATATCGAATGGAAAGAAGACAATGGTAAAGTTATTTTTCAAACAAGAGCTAAAGTGATGTCTATAATTTATACCCTTAGAATTGACAAAGCATTTAATTATAACTTAATTAGCACTTATATGGTTGAGAAATTGAACTTGCCTTGTATTGAATATATTGATCCCTACATGTTGAAAGGAGTAAAGGTAGATAAAAGAGTGTTATTATCATTCTCTATTGGAAGGTATGAGGATGTGATTTGGTGTGATGTCATTCCCATGAATCGTTTTCATATCTTGTTGGGAAGGCCATGGAATATCTATAGAAGTGCTTCATATAGTATCGAAAAAAATAGATACTCTTTTGAGGTTAATGGGAAGAAACTCAGTCTTGGACCTTTGACTCCCTCACAAATTTGTGCAGATGAAAAGATTGTTAAAAAGAATATGGAAAAATACGAGAGAGAAAAGAATGAGAGGAGTAAGGGAGTGCATGTTGACATTCCAAGAGAGGAAAAAGGAGAGGTTGTCTTGAGTAAAAAGAGTGGGATGTCAAGTGAGGTAAACAATGATCTTGAGAAAAAAGAAAAGAGAGAAAGCAATAAGAGAAACAAAGTTTGTAAGGTAGAGAGAGAGAAACAAGAGAGATTGAGTGAAGGAAAAGAACTCTTTAGTGAGAGAAAAGAGGCTAAGGGTGAGGAAAACATTAGTCTTGCGATAAAAGCCAAAGAGAGTGTAAGCAAGAAAAACGTTTCTTTACTTCCTAACCCATTAACTCTTTCTTGTTTTAGTTCTTGTGATTTTGTGCAGCCACGTGATGAAATACCTTTTGAAAGGAGTGGTGAGGCGCAAGAGATGGTGGCAAAAGATCCAATTGGATTCCAACATAAATTCGGCAATATCAATTCTTGTTGGATGGTGGAAGACAAAAGCTTGATTAAATTCTTTGTTATTAAACTTTTTGACTATTTCGATTCTTATTTACGGGGTTATGACATGGAGTTGCCTAAAAGCATTGCTAAGGTGGAGCCACTGCATAAAAGAATACAAGTTGATGATGTTCCATTGGTAAATAAGTCCAAGTATGGTATGTATAATTGGTTTATTTGCATTCTTGGTTTTTCTAGAACACCTAAGGTATTTTTGGAGGTAATGAATTCCTCTCTTATTTCTTATATTGGTGACTTTATAAATTTTGTAGATGATGATATTTTGATGCACATCAAGTCATTAACTATAATATCTAAGTTAATGTGTAAGAGTAATTCGCTTCCTTTTGAAATTGTGTATGACATAGATGATTACTTATTCCAACTTGGTGGAAAGAGGCATGGAATTTCTGAGAAGAGGCTTGCGAATGAGTTAAATATTTCCTTTTATCTTATTCAAGTGGCTAATGAGTTTTCATGTGCTAAAGTGCTAGAATGTGTTCTTTGTTATGTGATGGGGAGTCATTATTCAAGTCATGTTCATTGTAAGCTTGTAAAAGTATTTGTTTCTAGTAANACTGGTGATCAAATACTCTTTCATGTAGAGGAATCCATGAGATTTGTAATTGTAGTTAGTAGTCTATATCATGAATGTATCTTGTTTGATAAATGTGGTAAAGGTACTTATATTAAATTTATGTGTAGTCACTTTTTTATAATTTCTTTGTCAAGTATACTCATGGACTGCCGTACCAACAAGATCGAATTGCAAGTTCCATTGCATGGTGCCTCTAAGAGAGGTTTTTATTGTATTAATCTAGGTAGACATAAATTTTATTGGGATGATGATGTC